GAGACACGGGCGCCAACAGCAGGGAGAGCAGTTTCATTTCCTCTCTCTCCATCTGGCCGCTCTGCAAAAATCAGAGGAAAAGCTCCCCATCAGCAGATCTGCCCTCGCTAGAGCTTTATGAGTGAGTGACGTTGATGCTGTATCACCTCAGATACCTGCAGTTTGTGGCCTTTCTCAGGATGATTCAGTCTGTTGAACTCCAGTGAGAGGAAGGACGCCAGGGTGGTCGTGTATCCGAGGTACATATCTGAAAAAGCTGTCTGGACAACCCAAATTAGAATAAATGTGAGCAGCCTGTCCCTCAGCGTTCAGAGTGAAGGACTCAAATCATGAAAAATTTTTAAAAATAAAAGCCTCATCTTACGTCATTTTGGCCGATTAGCTGCACCAGGATGTCTCCAACCAGAGACTTCCAGTGTTCGGCAGTTAGTCGCTCCTGCAGGGTGTTTCTGAAGAGGAGGTGTCGCTGTAGCAGCTGCTCCACAAACTTCAGATATGTCTGACTGAATCAAAGAAAGAAAATTAAAAAAAAGACTTATTTTACAGTCAAATATTACAAACATAATTTTAACAGTAAAAGGACATTTGTACTATAATACCTGGACAATCGTGCTGACACTGACGGCGGATAGAGGATTATTTAATTCCCATTTCTGCCTCTGTGCTGCAGAATGAATGTCCTCAACATTTACCCCTTCGTGCCCCCAGGTGTGAAATATAGTGACTTTACATGCAAGAAAAATTCATGTGCCTTCATTTTCTTCCCTTATAAGCAGTTGAAGATCGTAGCCACTGGAAAAAACAATCCCACGTGTTTCCCCTCTCTAGTTACAGTGTGATGTGTTGTATATAAACAGTTCAGCACTTACTGTGGCTCCACGGTCATCTGGTGAGCTGGCGGTGTCCTGTATCTGTCATACAGCTGGTTTAAGGTTGAAACGTACTCCCACTCAGAATGCAAGAGCTGCATCGCCACCTGATGTCGTGCATCTGCACAGAAAGGACAACAGCTGCACAGATGTGCTTTTCACCTGTAACGTTTATATTTCAGCTTTTTAAATGACATTCGGCGCTTTGTTCAAAATTGAGCTTCGCATCCAGTCAGATGGAGACTGAAATGAAAGAGGTAACATGTACTGCCGAAGTGCTTTTCAGCAAGGTATTGAACGGTGGCCAACGCCTTAAAAGGGATGTCTTAGAGAGCACCTGCCAATCAAACAGCTCAGAGTTACAGTGTCCGTTCCTTCGACTATCTGCACATGAAGTTAAAGGTTCTGTGTTTTTCCCAGCATGCTTATTTTGTTCCTGATGTGTGTTTTAGTTTTGCAGCTGTTTGAGGAAATACACTACTATATGTTTTTGGTTTTTAAATTTCTAAAATGTGGGAAAACTGTTTCCCCTCTCCGGCACTGAAACTCACCTGTGCCTTCACTCAGTCCTGCTTTGAGTCCCTGCAGGAAACAGTGGAGCAGCAGCTTTCCTCTGGACAGACAGGAGGGCGGAGCAGACGAACACTCACACTGACTCCGTCCGCCGGCCGCCTCTGCTGCGTCACAGCTGCACAACAGTGGACAGATGTCTGTCTGCAGGTTTTACACGTCTCTATGTTGTATTATAAAGCATAACAGGCTAAGATACGTTGATGTGATGTGTCATGTCACACCATGCATGTTATAAGGGTTATAATATCAATGATATATATATGATAAACAAACAAGAAAATCCTTGAGAAGACCATCAGCCTTTGTCTTGCACTGACATCTTTTGTAAAGTTTTATCATGCTTAATACATTTAATGCAATTTGGAAATTATGTTAATAATGTATCGTGTATTAATATTGGACAGTTGTTTCTACGTGTGTGTTTTACCTTTCTCTCTGTTTTGACGTGGAGCTCTTTCCGTCCTGCTGAGGTCTCTGTCTGTTACTGTACAGCTGCAAGACCTGACACCGCATCACACCCAGTTCTTCCTGTGGGGTGACGAAGCGTTGAGACTAAATACTGTCCACAGCTGAGGGAGAATCATCGTCTAACGCTGAGTAATATCTGTGATGGGTGTACAGACTGGACAGAAGTCCCTGCAGCCAGAGGTTGAACGTTCTCCAAATTATTTACTTTAAATTGTGTATGTTGCTTTTTTTGTGTAGTCATGTATGTGGAACCCAAACTTTTCACCTTGGGATTTTGTCTGAATATTTAAAGTCTGGATATTAAAATCTCTCCGGTCTCACCCTCAGCGACTCGACCAGAGCCTCCAGACGAACGGCCTTCTTCTGGCAGCTCCTCCTGTTCTCCTCCAGCTCCTCCCTCAGGAACGTGTCTCCATGTTGGATCTGACTGAGCTCCAGCAGAGCGCTGGTGAAACCCGTCTTCAGCTCCGAGACCATGCATTGTAACTGAAGAGACAGCAGGTGTAAGATATTAGTTAGAAATTTTAGATTTTTATATATATTGATATTTGAAGCTGAATGTCTCAAGTGTGTTTTGGTCCTGGTCTCCACTCTTGGACATCACAGGGGATTTATTTTCCATCTGCTGCTTATATTACAGCGTCTAATTTAAAGTGAACTGTCTCTTTAACAAACAGCAGCAGGCAGGCTGATGAGGGAAGGTGCAGAATACCTTGGAGATTTCAGTGACAAGCTCTGCCTCTTGGGGCTTCATGACCTGTGCAGAGACAGAGACACAAACAAGCCTGTTTGCAAACACTCAGTGATGAATCTTCACGAACTGTGCGGCCAATATTAACCTGTATGGTTTTATCATAGTCATCCTGTTTTTCTCCCAGTAATGAGAATATTTAACCCCTTTCTAACCAAAAGCTCCCACAGATTATAAGAAACACATAAAAACTAAATATCTGCCTGGAATTTGATCTGATTAGTTACATTTTGTTAAGCGCAAAAATGCAAATTCAGTCAAGATTTTTTTTGCATTTACCAACACATCAAAGCGTATGCATGCACCTGAGGAGTCAAAATACCATTTACAACCTGTTTTAATGACTTTCAATGTCTATATTCTTGTTTGTTTGTGGTACCTGCTCAGATGTTGCCCCTGCCAGCAGCCCCTCTGCTAAGGAAGTGGCGAGCCAGCCAAAGAGCTCAGCCCTGCAGGGGAAATGGCTGCAGGAGCCAAGATCCCTCCTTACAAGTGTGCTGACAGAAGGACAGGCACGTGTCAGCAAAAAACACTGGAAAATGCAATATGCTTATTATAAGCCTTATATTTTAAAATTAAAATGAAACCAAGTAAAAATCCCTGTGATATAGATAATATTGTCATTTTAAACCACTTCAGGAAACAAAATATGTACAAATCACATTTTTGTTGTAGGTTGCACAACTGCAATTTACATGCTTGCTGCTATAAAGAATCTTTTTAACATTTCCCAACATAACTATAATGTTAGTGATGTCCAAATATCCAGGCATCCTCCAGAAGACTTAATCAAAGACAGAGACAAGACTCAAGAACAAACTCACCTCAGTCACAGCTCTTCAGTGTCGCCTCTCCAGACATTTTAAAAGATGTTGTGAATTTTAAAATCCGGTAACAATGTCCTGTGTCTGCTCCTCTGTGGTGAAACTTGGCCTCAGTCATTTGCGGTGTTTTGAAGGCGGTAGTCTGGTGTTGTGCTGTGCGCTGCTCTGTGCAGACAGCAGATGTCCTGCATGACGCTCAGTGAGCAGCTCTGGGATTTACTGGAGCAGTCAGGTCGAGTATCAACCATGTTAATGTCCTAATGAAAGTGTTGCTTTATAACAGAGTTAGTTACAGCAGTGCAGTTATTGTTGCGCATTTGTATATATTCTATATAAATATATTTTATTCTGCTGTTATTTTACCAGCACATGTTTGATGTTGTTTTTTAAAATGTTGCTTGCCATTTTTAACAAGTCGTTTTTCAATATGGAAATGAGAAATACTGTCAGTGGTGGCTTGATTTCCTAGAAAACATTAATAAGATGTAAGAAAACAGATAAAGAGCTGTTTATGGAGGTAAATTTGTCTCAATATTATTTGGATGAACAGATTAACAATTTGTGTGTAAATACATAAAATTATAATAATGATAATAATAATAATACGAAAAAATTAATTCGTAAACTCACAAAAATGTCTTGCTAATATAAAACGGATCTGCAAATACACGAACAAATTCCACAAATAAAAACATCAGTCACAGAACGCCCACATGAGTATGTGAAAACAAAAATGCAAATCGGATTAATGCATTTTCTTTTTAATTGTCTTTACTTTGCTGTGCTGAAGAGCAGCAGGAGAACAGGTGTGTTAACTGGCCATCTCACACAGGTGCCCTGAGTTTTCTTTGTTCTGTGTCCTGAGCTCGTTCTCTGTTTGACCTTCAGGTGAGCTGGTTCCCTCTGTCGTTTCACCTTTGTACCTGAGTGAGTAGAGTGAGTTTATTTCATTATATTTCCTCAAGTCATGTTTATTTTGTTGTTAAGTAGTACATCCATAGTCTCAAAACTGTGTGTGTAAAATGTGAATCCACAAGCGCAGAATTGAGATCTACAAATGCTTTTTCGCTTCACAAATAGAAAATTGATTCACAAATGTGTGTTTGAAAGTTGTAAATGTTAGGAAGATATTCACAAATGCTTTTCATTTATTTGTAAATTAATTGAATGTATTCACAGACATGTTTTTATTTGTGAAATTTGTTTGTGTATTTGCAGATCCATTTTATATTTGCAAGACATCTTTTTTGAGTTTAAAAATTTATTTTTTGTATTTGTGGAAAGGGTTTTATATTTACAGATTGCACATTTACTCACAGATTGTCAATCTGTTCTCACTAATACTGAGACAAATCTACCTCCATATAAAAATCATTTTCACTCCGCCCGTGTGGATCACTCCGGAGATAGATCGAGCGCGCTCACGCCTGCGTTGTTTTGGGAAGGGCGTGGTTCAGGCCAATACTTGAATCTGATTGGCTGTTGGGTTCTTCGAGTTTTCAAAATCGAGGCTGACGGAGCTGTCAAAACATGCACAGGAGCAGAGCGTGACTGGTGAGAAATAACAACAACACGGACATACTGTATGTTTAGCCACATATATATATATATATGCATATCTGTAATACTAACACGCTGTGTATTATTTTCTCATTAAGCTAAAATCACATTCTTCCCCCGTTTGGCTTCGTTCAGACAGATGAGCCACACAGCTAACGTTAGCTACAACTGTTTCTACTGTTAGCATGTTGGATAGCGGAGAAACAGCTAGCTGCTAGCCCGACTGTAGCGTGTCTAATTCAGTGTACAGGTTGGTGTTTGGCCGAGCTTATTTAAAGGACCACACCTGTCACGGTTGTAGCATGTTAGCCCACCGAGCAGCGGTGGGAGTAGTACACACTGTTAGCATCGCAATATGCTTAAAGTACTAGGAGTAAGTACTCGTTATGTAGACTGACCTTTTTGTTGATTTAATTTTAAATGGATAAAACTGTAATTTTTTTTAACACTACCATAATGACAAAGTGAAAAAAGATATTTTTGCAAATTTATCAAAAATCAAAAACTGAATTTATTTCTTATTTCCAAAGTGTTCTGATCCTTTGCTATGGCTATCCAAATTTTGATCACATGTATCCTGTTTGCTTTCATTTTCTTTAAGATGTGTCTAGAAATTGACTCTCAAACTGAATTGATTGGACATAGTTTAGAAAGGCACACACCTGTATATACAAATAAATACAATATACAAACTCCCACAAGGCTCACTGCATTTCAAGACAAAAAACAAACCATGAAGTCAAAGGAACTCTATAGACATCTGGGATAAAATTGTGGTGTGCCATACACCTGGATGAGGGTACTGAAGCCTCTTTCTCAACAGTGTTGCGGGCTGAAGCCATGAGGACGAGTGAGTTTGACTCCTCATCTGAAGAGGAGGAGGTCGGAGAGGAGCAGCTGACGCCCTTCCACATCTCCTGGTGAGTTTCAGCAGTTGTGCTTTTGTCTTGACGACCAATTGTGAAATTTCTTTCATGGTTGTGTAATAAAAAAAAAAAATGAGTCAGATTGTTTTTAAATGGTGAAACAAGCCTCACTGTGTACATGTATATTATATTTTGATTGGCTTTAAGGGTACCTCTGTCCATAGTGGAGTGCTCGCAGTTTCTTGGGATATGTGCACTACCAGGTAAAGTTGCAATTAATTATTTTACACTTGCTGTTCTTACTTTATTACTAAAGTTTTTGTGCATCTCAATGTAAAAAAAAAAAAAAAAAAAAAAAATGTCCTTCATCTGACTTCAGGTTGCAAATACAAAGAGATCCGCAGGAGTCTGCAAAGAGACGTTGGTAAGATGGGTTTTGATTGTGTCGATCATGTAGATCTTTTTAATCTGTTGACAGCTGTTTATAAATTTAACTGTTTTACATCTCGGCTGTTTTTGTTGTTGACAGAGGAGCTTCAGAACCAGGGGGTACAAGACGTGTTTGTTTTCTGCACCAGAGGGGAACTGAACAAGTACAGGGTTCCCTCCCTGCTGGAGGTCTACCACCAGCAGGGCTTCACAGTTCACCACATGCCCTTCCCAGACGGAGACGCTCCTGAGCTGGAGCAGTGCTGCAGGATCCTTGAGGAGCTGCAGGTCAGCCTCGAGAACAACAGGAGGACAGTGATCCAGTGAGTGAAATCATCATCCATCAAACTGAGATTTGAACTGAATTAAAAAATATGTTTTGCTCTTTGGCATAAAAATAGAACAGAAAACGACTTGTGACTTCTATTTCTCTACCCAGACAATTAAAAATCCATTATTTCAAGATGCTTCTCCTTGTGAAGATGCACCACTAACTTAAAAATGTGCAGAGAGAGGATGTCAGATACAATCAAACTTAACTCAAGCTTGTCTACATGAACAGAGAGACGATACATGAAATCGAAAGCAAGCGGGAGGAGTGTCGTGTAAAGGTTAAAAATAGATGCATCTATACTTTCTATGACAAAGAAACCCTTTGTGTTGAGTATTTTTAAACCTTTTTGTATCTTCAAACTTTGAATTAAGTACCAGACGGCTCCAGAGAACTAGGGTACATCTCACCACAAAGGCATCTGTTTTCACAGTTCTGTGCGGGACACCCCTCGTTACACAAATTAACAATTTGCTTTCAGCTTTTAGCTGTGCATTTGATGGCAATTTGCGCTTTTCTTCTTGCCCTTCAGCTGTTTCGGAGGCCTCGGACGCTCTGCATTAAGTAAGGATATTCTATTTATGCTCTTACTTTGAAAGTTACCCTTTATTCTTTGTGTCTGTGGTTTTTCTTGCAACACTAAAACAAAAGTTTGACATTAAAAATTCTCTCTACTAGTTTTACTCCAGCGCTCTGATCACATGATCACATGTCTCATGTTTTCTTCTGTTCAGTCGCCGCCTGTCTGCTGCTTCAGCTCTCTTCAACAATGACAGCAAACAAAGCCATCGAAATCCTCCGGGAGCACAGAGGAGGAGGAGCAATACAAACTGTGAAGGTGAGAGGTTACTCTCCTTCCTCTGACTGTGTAGTTCTAAAGGGAAGATAATGGTCTATTTACATGTTTTAGCCCATTATTCATTAATCTAAATGAATGAAAATAAATGTGCAGAGTCTCGAAACCTGCTGAAGATGGGTGACCCTTCAGAAGTGTTTCAGTAGTGTCATGTGATAATGCAGCTGCCAGCGGGCTCTTGTTTTGGAAGCTCTTCCATGGTGCTGCGTTTAAGGATGCTCTGACATTAGAGATTTGGCTGCTGAAAAGCATTCATGAGCGAAAGCCAAACAGTAAGCAAATATGGGAGGTGTGAAAAGGTTGAAATGAATTAGAGCAAGAGACCAGTGAGTCGGCTGCTCGATATTATTGGCTTATATTAGCTCAATACAGATATATCTGCATCGCTATATATGTCAGCTGATGAATAAGGATTAATAATTTCTCTACAGAAATACTGGAATATTGCCATTACATAGTTGCATTGTGCACCAGAGTGGTAATGAATTTTAAGTTGGTAACAGTTTGGTTATAAAGAGATTTAAAGAATATATATCAAAAATGTTTCTTCATATGTTTATGTTAAAAAAAAAAAAAAACATTGTGAATGTGGCATTTTATACTTAAAATGACTCTCGCCAGTATTATCATATAATGAAGTTAAGTTTTTAAGTTTTAAGTGACGATGTTTATGACCATTGTGGTGAATTATCTAAGTTGATCCTGATTCCACACAGAAATGGTTGTTCGTCAGTCATCGTGTCTGTATTTATAGTTACTGGGCTCAAACATCACAACAACACGGCTTAGATCCTTGAATGTCTGTTTCTGTGAATTCGAGAACAAACGTGAACTAATGACTTAATTTGACTTTTCCCACAGCAATACAACTTCCTCCACGAGTTTCAAGAAAGGTACACAGCGTACCAAGAGAGCAGAGAGGTTTCCACGGAGCGCTCAGTGTCTCGGTGATCGCCGTTTCACTCATTCAAATCGTGACTCATGAAAATATTGATCCCTTCAAACTTGCTTTTCTGTCAGTGATTCTTCTTTTGATTGTGTGTGTGTGATATAATTGTATTCTCTAATGATTGCACTTTAACAGAATACTCTAATATATTGCTTTTTGTCATCCTCATTATAATGGAATAAAGACGTGATGAGGAAACCGTTGATGTGTTGGCAGTGAGTTCAGAATATATGTCTTCACATGTTTATAATAACAGAGGTGTCTGTTCACCTGCTGTAGTAATGGAGCTGGACTCTATTTTATATATTTTATTTTGAAAAAGTGACTTAAACTATATTTTCTAAACCTCACTTGAATCAATATCACAATAGTGATACTGAAATGTGCTTATTAATATTGTGATATTGAGGGAAGGGAGATTTAATGAAGGATTCAGCGTCATGCATCAGACATAATTTCCTTACATTTGCAAAAACAAAAAACATCAATTAGTAATTTTGTGATGATTTTGCTCAGATCAACTAACTCAGAAAACAGAATTTCATCACGAAACGATATTCAAAAATGATTTCCTCCTTGTTCTTCTCAGAATCTGTTTTCCCTGCAAACCACTGCTCCTTCTTGCAACATTTTATTTCTCAATCACAGTGTCACATGTAAGTGCTCTGTCCTGGCTGCATTTATTTTCAGGCTGGGGAAAGTACCCTTGAGCAAAACTTGATAACGGCATGCTGGCTAATGTTTGTCACTGGACCTGAGCGTTAGGAGACTTTAATATCTGGAAAAAAACAAAACAACCCAGATTTCTGTTAAAGTGCATTTGTTTAAAAAGACTTTCATGAGGATTTTTTTTTTAGAATGAGCTCTGATTTTAATCAACGCTGTGATTGAATGATTTGAGATCTTGAACATAATTAAGGAAATCTTTAAACCTTAATGTACAGGTCAGAGGAAATGCTGGTTTCATCTCGACACTCTGCTGTTAAGAGTTTGTTTCATATGTAACGTGTTTTTAATCCCATTTAGATCAACAGCAAGAAAAACATGTTTTCATGGATTTCCAGTTACAAAAAGTATTTTAAAGTCTAAAGTCTTTTGCCTAAATGTGTCCCACATCACACAAGAATCATGAAGTACGTGAGATAAAAATTGGCCTTAAATATTATATTCTAATCTCCTTTTAAAAACATTGATCTAAAATAACATTCCAGTCCATAATAAGAGTGGGATCATTTTATTTAGATTCAAATAAACTCAAGTTGTCATTTCCTAGACGTGACAAGATGGGATCTAATACATAAAAATTTAATTTTATGTGACAAATGATCTTCCCTTTCCCTGATAAATTTACACATTTTGAAAATGGAAATAAATACTCTAGTATTTCTGAAAAATTAAGTCTAATTGCGCTGACACTACAGAAACAAAAACACCACTTCCCAGATTTTGATTCTGGAGACGAGCGACACTGCGAGGAGTGCTTGATATCGTGGAGACATGAGAAGTTAAAATTAAAAAACACTGAATAAGAGTTTTCTAACGACGTGGAATATTTGGTTGTGGAAATGAACAGAATGCACAATGACAAAAACAGTTGAGTTTGAAAAGGTACATTCAACAGTATGGCACGTCAGCAGTCTCGTACTCAAAGCTCAAATGCAGAAAGAGAACAAAAAAGTTCCGTTGCTTCCTAATGCTGAAAATATTGTACTGTTGAGTCTACCTTCTTAATTTATCGATAGCTGCGGGGGCGATTCTACAGAAACACATGTCACATACACGTTGCTTTCTACTCTGGATTCACACTTAAAACAAATATTGCCATTTATTTCAACAGGGATTACATGGTTTAAACGTGATAGACAGGTCTGAAGTACGGAAACAATACGTCAGACGGTTTGAAAACTGATGTTGTGACAACCAGACTGATTGTCCCTGTGCAACATGTTTCACTAAGTGATAATAACCCATGCACTTCAGCCCTCACCGTACATTACTGTACTTTCATGTAAATGTTAAGACTTAATGTGTCTGTGGGCAAGAACATAAGTCTGGTTTGCACTTTGCTATTTGTTTTAGTGATGGTAATGGATCACTTGGCAGGTATAAATTAGCTGTCGAAGCCCAGGATCTAATTCGCAGAAAAAGCTAATGCAATTCAGCACACAGCTTAGATTCTCACAGATATATGCACACCTGAAAATTATGTCTGCCTAAAATTTGTAAACACTCAGAAGTTGGGAACCAAGATGAAAAAAAACAAAAAAAAAACAAACTTTATTTAAATCCCAAGCATCAAAAATCACCACACCATGAAAAATAAAAAAGGAAAAGAAAAAACTTGTCCATTCAGGTTTGTCCTTATTTTCCATAAAATTTAAACTATAGTGTCATGAAAAGAACGCTGCGACCAAGATATTCTCCTAAAACGGGCTAAATGTTTCCGAAATGACACTCTGCGCTGTGTGTGGGGGTTCGAGAGTTCGTCCGCTTGAAATGGCGTCTTGTTTTGCTGAACGGTGGTCTCCAGCAGGTCCAGTGTTCCAGCACTAAGATCATAGTGTCTGGTCGACTACTGTACATGCAGGTCCTTTTCCTTCATCGCCCGGCTTAAGAGCTCACCAGAACATAGATCATCCTGTCGCAAACAGATGAGAAAGTGGAAAACATAATTAAATATTCTGCATTGTTTGGAATAATATAACATAACCACCATCACAGGGTTTTATATATTGTTCATATGTTTTGTTAAAATTAAGTCATTGTGACTTAAAAGTTGGAGGAATAATTCAACATTTTGGAATATACACTTACTTGAGGAGCTTAATACCACTCAGACCTTTACAGTAAACATGAAGCTACAGCCAGGAGAGTTAGCTTAGCTTAGCATAAAGGATGGACACAAGGGGAAACAGCTAGCCCTACCAGCACCTTTAAAGCTCATTAATTAATGTTGTCTCATTTGCCATTTTACAGAAGACTGTGCTTTACTATGTCTCATCCAGGAGTAGTTGACCGCCTTCAGCGGACTCCATGACGACTCCTGAACCAGTAATTGTTTAATTCATACAAAACCCAGAGTGTAAAATGACAAACGGGATATAATGTGCTCATTAAAAGGTGCTGGTAGGTGGATTTTGTAACTTTCAAGCAGAGCCAGGCTAGATGTTTCCCTTTGTTTTCAGTTTTTAAGCTAAGCTAAGCTAATCAGATGCTGCCTGAGGCTTCATATTAACAAGCAAATGTGGTATTGGTCTTCTCATCTAACTCTTGTACAGTAAGTAAACAATCCAGTTTCCCAAAATGTCAAACTATTCCTTTAATGAGATTTTAATTTGCACAGGATGAGTATTGTGAGGAGATTTCAAGCTTTACGAAATTAGATCACGTTATGTACAGTTGACCTATTACTTTACAAATTATAAACATGGCTTTGTATTGGAGGCATCCCCACATAATACAGTCCTGTGTAAATTAGAACCGAATCATGAGCACTTAGTGCAGATATGAACGAGATATAAAAAATAAATGCGTACCCATAGAGATAGTAGAAGAACGACAGGAGATAGAAAGCCAGTTTGCACCAGCCTTCTTTTTGACAGTATGCCAGGATGTCAGCATTCATGATGGTTGTTGGGTCATAGAGTCCTGGACAGCTCATCACAGGTCTGCTCATATACCTGCAGCACAGTGGAGCGAAAGTGGTGGATTAAGTCAGTTGTGTCTGTCTGTTGTGAAAAGCAAGAAATATCAGGGCGTTGGGCAATACAGACTTTTGATGGATCAAACACTGTAATTAGATAATGGATGTCAGAGACCCACCTCCACACATGATAAGCCAACAGTGGTAGGTTGAGACAGAGGGTGAGCCACTCAGCCGCACAGAAGAACATCACACAGAAGAAGAAATGGATGAGATACTCTGGGAGCACCAGCTGCGGAGAGAAAAATTAGACACATGTCAGAATCCTCATATAGTGAACAGTCAGTCCAACACCTTATTCTCATGAGCCTGTGTGCTGTGTTATTGACTGTAATGTAAAGACAAAACTCTTTGGCTGTCCACACAAAATACTTAAATACCAAGTGTGGACTCACAGTAATAAATGTAGTGAGCTGTAATAAGTTAAAGCACACTGGTCAGAAGATAATACAGCATCGAGTCACAAAGCCTCAAAGGCAACGAGGACATTTTACAAAGAGAAAATTGAGCTATTTAAAGAGCCAGACATCTAAAAATTGCAGCCAGCTCCACAGAGGGTTCAGCAAAGGAGTGAAATACAAATGAGCTAAAGTGAGACGCTTATGCTCAACTATGCACTATGTTCTGTGCAGTTAAGCCTCTTGGTTCACACTGTCAGGCCCAGCTTGATGTTTTCTTCCTACACATTATTACATGTGCATAAAAATGTCACAGTAAGCTATCGCACTGATCTGACAGAATGTGTAACACAAACAGGGTGAAAAATTAAAACATGCCACCTGCAAAATTTCAGTGATTTTTGAATCCTATGCTCGCCCCCAAACTGAGGACCAAAAGACGCCACTCGTTTGATGTTTAATAAGCTTCCACAGTGAGGCTTATTCACTGTCCTCAGATATCCTCTGTGTGATGTGGCAACACAATGAGCAAGGCAGAATGTGTGACTGTGTTTAGCCATGCAGCCACATTTAGCCTCTAACACCGACTTCAAATAGTGGTAAATCTTGAGAGTGGGTTGTTGAATTTAGGAGTCTTCAAGTGGATAGAAAAGGTTAATTAATTTCCCACCCTGCTTATATGTCATGCATCAAGTCTTGACCACAAGTGAAAGAGGGAAACTCATCAACAACTTGCTCTGGAGAATGTTTGCGCATCTCAATATCAACATCTTTTGCAGTGAGGGCAAACCTAGAGATCATCCCACCTCCTGACAAACGGGACTGGGAGACACACTCGAGAGAGAGAGAGAGAGAGAGAGAGAGAGACCATGCTGTGAGCACTAGCAGTGTTGATGCAGCAGCTTGCCTCAGGTTGACAAGAATTTGAACTGGTGCGGGGTTCAGGGGGGCAGATGGAGGCACCACATGGAAGCCATGCATTCAAAAAGAGCAGAGGGTGGAGGTGTGGGAGGGGGGAGGGGGGGGCAACCAACAGCCCACAGATGGAAAGGTGAGGGGCATGTAGGAAGAGGAAGGGGGGAGGAGGGGGCTATAATGTGTTGAAATCCTGCACTGTGCTGCCAAATACAAAACGACTGATCACAGCACAAAAACATTTTGCCAACTGAGCTGAGCGTTCCACACGCAAAAAGACTAGCATGGTCAAAACAGCAGATCGTAGAGATCGAGGAACTGTACTTTTAACTTAACTCCTCCTACTAGTGAAATCACCGACCAATCAGTGGTCTTGAATATTGCTGATATGGAGAGTGTTGGGATTCTGCAGCCATCTGCTCTGAACCACAGGTGATGCAGGTTAGAGCCAAACACTGAGCTCATATATAGTAGCTTAGTTCAGCTAATTGCTGAATCAAACTGCAGCCTCCCCCTCATAGGAAAGTGAAATAACTACTATGTGATATGCATGAAGAAAAGTTTGATTTAAAGTTGTAATATAAAATTATTTTCCTCCAACACCACAATCTACAGCTCAAAGTATCCACTGTTCAAAAAGCTTTGCTGCAAAATCCAATGACCTGATTTTCTCTTTACATGATTTCTATGAATACTGTTATGTAAAAGCTCTGTCAGGACAGTGTATAGGTCTGGTGTCGTGTTACTGTCATCTCAAACTCAAGACAAGTTACCTGACTTTCTGAGTTTACTGGGAATTTACTGTACCAGTAACACTATATGCAAACAAAGGGTAGGTTGTAATAAAGATCATGCATGTTTTGAGCATTTGCAAGTCTTTTCAGTTAACAACTATACTTTATCAATAATCAATAACAGTGGATATTTCATCCAAGTATTTGTATCCCACTACTTCATATTCTAATGCTTCTCATGAGCACCAAGGCTCCTCTGCTTGAAAAGCAGTTTAACAAAGCTTGAAACGAATAGTCAATTTAATTGGTTAGATGAGGTGTTAAAAGGAGAATATTAAAAAAAATCCAGTATTTCAGTAAATGCTTACAACTTAAAAGCTGCACTTTGAGACTTGCAAAATAGAAAGAATAACTACTATTGCAGTCCACAACAGTCAAAAATGCTCACAAAAACAAAGAAGGTAATAAATAAATAAATAAATAAATAAAAGGGGCAATTTTACAAAAAAAAAAAAAAAAAAATCTATCTACAACACGACAGTGGAAAAGATTGGGCACAGGTGGCGTTGTCTAATCCCTGAACTCTGGCCTTGACTCAGATTAGTTAACTGAAAAGACGTTTGCAAACACTTCCCCCGTGCAAAATGACAAGACTGCAGACTGAGTTGAACTGAGCGGGCATTTTAAAGATTGGTACAAACCTTTAATGCAATTTTGACTCTTTTAATCTTTTTGACCTTTTCAACTGTCTTTTTGCCGTTAACAAAGTGTAAAAACAAAAGCAGATTAGGAAAAACAAAACAACAAAAGGCGTTAGAGTTTGACAGCTGACAAGATCACTGTATTCATAACAGGCAGGTTATTTAGCATAACAGTGCAGAGAAATGATTGAAAAAGACAGATAGGCGGATAAAGTCCTAAAGTAAATGAAATATCTTTCAACAGAGCATATCTGCATGCAGTCAAAGAGGCAAGAAAGGTGTGTCAGGTACTATGGCGTCACTTACCGGATTTAGAGTGTTACACTGATCTATAGGATTCTTGTAGTCAGTCTTCAGCTCGTCAAATGCTATTATCTGGAGGAACAAGATGACCACAATGCAACAATGAACAGAGAGCACACAATATGGATGTACGTTTTAAATGCAATTTGACATTGGGTATCTTTGAACTGAGTCATAGATGGAGAAATAACTTAAATAAATAAATAACTGCAACATTATCTAATTGTACAGTATGTGCAATATACCATTAATTATTGCAAATCTTCCATTACTCTTATTTATTATTTGCCTTAATTTTACAGTCTTACAAGCAATTGCAACTAACAATAGTTTTCAATGTAGTCTACTCTCATTTTTAGTTTGTTTGGTATTTCGGCTTGATTAATGACCAAATTATTTATTAATCAACATTTTTTTTCTCATTTTTATTTTTTGGATGAACTAATTAATTGACTCATTAATCATGAACTGTTTCAGCACCCATGTCAAAACATTACACTGTTTGCCTAAAACGTTCTTTTTTCTTGCTTCTTATTAGGTGAATAAGACATAGCTGTAGAATTCTCTTGTACAAACTGTTTTTTATTCTGTCATTTAGCAGTTATATGCATAATAATTTGTGTGTTTAGTTACTTTATGCCCTTTTTCTTTCTTTCTTTGTTGAGTATTTTTTACAAGAAAGTGACTGGAAACCAAACCAACAGAAGCATTTTGAGTGCCGTTAACTATATGACTTTTTGAGTCATGGACACTTTACCCAAAAGTTTACAGTCTGCGCCGCTAATGGCGCCGCAGACAGTTTGACAGTAAAATTAATGCTATTTTCTAAACAAAGACATGCGACATGTCAGGAGCTTGAGATCAAGATAACGGATGACAGCAGCATCGTAGTGGTTTGTCCCTCCACGATTGGAGGTTAGTTAGCTAAGCCTGCTAACTAGCTGACTAGCTACCAGCTGAACGCTAATCATGTGACAAGCTTGACGCGGTAATACACGGTTACTGTAACTGGACAGCGGTTAATAAATGGCGAACAGTGTAAAGAGATTACGACAACACGTCATGTCAATAAAATTGTGCTTTGGTGTTTAGACTGCTAACTTTAGCTCATAGCCAACGGCGGGGTGTGTTCCATTCATTCTATAGAACACAGCCGTTCTAGAACGAAGGTTTACGTATACTGAGCACTCAGCGCGCAGCTGTTTCTATGGAGTTCCCTTGGTTACGTTCTATCCACACGTTGAGAAGCTCGGCGGGGAGCTAGCTACGTAAAACCCGAAAACGTCCTGTATATGTGGCTATAGAGCTGGCCTACCGTTAGCCCGGTGTTTGGCAGCCTTCCCCGCTCTTTCAGCTGCCTCTACCGGCGCCGTTGGACCGGCAGGCCAACGGTCTAATCTGAAGTTGTCTAAATGTTTACTTACATGCCAGATTGCGAAGAAGATAAGCGCCGCCGTGAGCAGCAGAGCAAGCATATAACAAAAGGCCGCGAATGTGAACGCCATTTTTTCCTCCGGTTCTGCTCGTCGGTTCCTGGCTCGGCTGGCGGATGATGCAGGCAGCTTCGCAACCGATTTGAGATTTGTCAGTGTGTCTTCTTCTACAGTGACTGTTCAGCTAGCTAACATCATTGCTGTTGCATTACTGCCATCTTCTGGAGTTGTTTATGTCCTGCAAGTTCGAGTCTTTCTATTAGTCAGTCTCCCAAAATTCAAACTTTCCTTAATTATCTGTAGTTTTAATCATTTTTATTTTACTTATTTTATGAAGACCTTTGAAGCCTTCTTTTTTAAAGGCACTAACAATGTACAAAAATATATTAACCGTATTGTAAGTTGTCCCTGTAATACCAAAACATGTACTGTACTTATAAATTATATATTACAGTTTAATATACAAGAACTGCAACAACCCATTATATAGCCTACAGTACTGTGCAAAAGCTTTAGGCACAGAAAGTTCAGAAAAGATTTCAGAAATAATACCAGGAAGTCAGTTAACATCATACAAAGTGCAGTACCACTCTCCCTGCCTTTGAAACGGCACTAATTCTCCTATCTACACTTGAATACAAGGTACTTGGCAAGTATGTTGTTCCAAGCATCTTGGAAAACCTGCCACAGTTTTTCTGTGGATTCAGTCTGTCTCAGTGTCTTTTCATGTAATCCCAGACTGACTCCACAATGTTGAGTTGAGGGATCTGTGGGGGTCTGACCATCTGTTGCAGGATTCCTTGTTCCTGCCTCTGAAGATTCTTTATGACTCTGGTTGCAGCCTGAATTTGGGACTGATCAGATGCCTCCTTGATGGCACTGATGATGAGGAACAATCTAAACATCTAAAGTTTCCTAAACTCTTGCACAGTGCCATATATGTACATGTGTTAGTTTATGTACAGTACATAAAACAAACTAATTGAACATATATTAAGTAACTTCTTTACCCGTACAGTATTTATTCTGTTAATCAAATTGTGAAGGCTTATAGGGTTTTCTTGTTCCCAGTGCTGGACCAAATATGATAAACACATATGCTAATCATACAATCAGATATGTCAGTTTGAAAAGAGCAGTCACCTGAAAACAGAGGTAAACATCGCTGTCACTTTATTTGGACAATAGGACAATAGACACTTTATAAAGTATGGGAAAATACAAATATCTCAAGTTTCACTGATGCCATGAGGCAGCTGATTATGATACATGTTTCAGGTGTTTTTTTTTTTTATTAAAAAGGAAAGAGAATAGTAGGCATTTGTTCAGAGAGGACACCAAAAGCTGAACAACACATTTGCAGGTTACAGAAAAAGACTCAAAAGGCCAAATATATAACAGGCTCACCATATAAAAGGAAAAGCTATTCGATCCACAGGACATAACCAGATACGTGGCTCAAAACCAAAAGCGAACTCTTTTTCCAATAGACCTTGTACTAGGGAAATAGTTTTTTATACGTGACCAATGTACAGTCTGTTACATCCCACTTGCATGAAAATGTATAAAAGAAGAGGGTTGTTGGTATGTAAAAACTTTAGATAGAGTAAGAATGCAGCCGAAAAACCAGATGTTTGAGATGCAACTTTTTCAATCAAATCAAATTAACTTAATCATTTAAGATTAATTCTCTGTTCTGAAAGAAAGCGTGCAACAAAACAGCAAATCCTTGAGCGTGCCATTCGGAAACTTCTGTCAGATTTATGCAAACTGTTCAGACATACGTTAAAGCATGCACTTCTTATACAGTAGCTCTCCACATTTTATAGGTTTTCAAGAATTTCCTTTGAACCAGAGAGCAGCTGAACATGTTTTTATGTATTCACATGGAAAGCAGTACATTGCACATATTTCAAGTGAAATACTAAGACTGTTTCAGAGTGAGCCTGTTTTGCTTTTGTCAAAACAATCCTTGTACTTCAGTCAATAGACACCCTTAATTTCAGGTTAGCTGTGCATTTTTGAAAGTCCAAAAGGGTTTAGCAGGTTTTAGGGCCATAAAACTTCCTTTACCCATAAAGGATAGCACACAACTTCAGCTCAAGTAAGGACAGAAACCATTGTGAGTATAATAATTACCCAGATGGAGCTCCGTTTTTCTGCTACAGCAGCATAATATCAAGCTGATAGTTTAAACCTTAGTTCAGATGTCATTAGTAGACAGAAAAACAAGTGATTACAGTTATATCCCATTGTTCCTGTTCGGCTAAACCTTGCCCGACATGTAAATCATAAATGATTACTGTCTAACATTTGACATCACTAAATGATCTACAGGACACGCTGTGATTGTGCGTACATATTGTATCTTTGAGTCCGATCTTTAGAAAAAGAAATTGTTTCTATTATTTAATGTAACCAGGTTTATACTTTGACAGAAAAAAAGAAAAATGTCTCTTTGACTTTACAGATCAGAAGGTTAAAAAAAAAAACTAAGATTAGTGTTGTAGAAAAAAAAAAATCCCCAACAAAGCTTTTTCAATCACCATCTATTTTTCCCTCACAAAACATATTTGTGTCATGTTTTCATTTTGGCCACATGGTTTTTCAAAACAGACATAAATATGACACAAAATGTCAGACAAGGCATTGGTATGGTAAACTTAGCAGTAGGACATCATAGACTATGTGGTGATTTAAATCAGCCACAACTCTCCAATATCTGTTCCCAAAGTACAAGTTTCTCAATACGAGACGACACTGATGAGGGAATGTGTGAAATTCATTTGTGCCTATTATTCTTTATTAGGGTCAGACCAATATACTGAGCTGATATTAAGCTTTTATTAATAACCAGAAATCTGCTTCTGTAGTCATCCACCACCTCTATAATGGAGGTTTTTTTTTTCTCTCACTGGTCACATAAAACCATTTAGTAGCACCTACGATGCAATTTTCTTTGCAGATGTTGAGTACAATTTATTTAGCTTTTTATCTATCTCAGGATGTTGTTAAGAACTGCTAATCCTTAAGGTCTTAGTCTGCTTGGTTTAGAGTTGTAGTGTGCTGCACTGTTCTACGTGCAGTTTCAGAGGATTTTCAGCAGGAAACAGGGAAGCACTGTCATTTTTCGGGTGTGAAAATAGCCAAAAATATACAACAGAGTCCAATAAGCGTGTGGAAAGTGACACATTTTTTGTTTTTTTAACTGTGTACTCCAGCACACTGAATATGTAACTTGCTTAAAGCCTCCGTCTGTGTTTAATCACAAAGCCAATATGACAGAATACAGGTCAAATGCTGCAAAAAAGTGTCTAAATACTTATAGACTTCACTTAACATATTAGACATTGGCACAAAATAGGACCTGCTGGCACATTCAACTCATAATTACCAGTATCAGCCTTCAAAATGTTATATTGGTCAAACCCTGTTCTTTATGGAAAATGTGAATTGCGCAGATGCTGTACTTTACCTACCAAGTCTAAACTTTAAGCACAACTGGCGTTTGGAGAAGTCACAGCCGTTCATTCTCAAGGCTGTGACCGCCACGAAGCAATCAAAGTGGCTTTACATCAGAATTAAGCACAACATTCATAAACACTAATAACAGTAATAGCTATAATGCACAACATTAGCTAACAATCTCCCTAAAGACACAGTAACCCACTTATACAGAGTAGCCCAGTAGAGTAAAAAGAGGGCAGGTAATGCCGCCCTGTGTGCAGTGTTTTCAAGACTGTCGTGGTCACTGGAGATGAGGGTTTGTTGTATAAATTGTTCAGTCTGGAATGTTTCAGTGGAAGTATTGTTTCCTGGGGTGTTGGTGCAGGTGAAAGGCAGAACACAGCTCTACCAAAGGTTCACGCTGTTTCTTCTCTAGGATGTGATCTGATGACGGACTCACAAGGGCAGTTCTGCTCCGTGTGATGGCCCCTGCCTAACCTGTTACTGTGGGTGTAGTGGCTTCTGTCAGCGTGTTCATGTGCAGAGGAGACGGTACAACACATCACATTTACTGTAAGTCTTAGGAGAGCCTCTTGTCAAATGCTCGTAGTGTTTTTTTTGTTTTTTTTTTTACTTAAATTATAATTAAAATGCCCTTAAATGAATACTGAAGGAGAAACTGACTAAACTCAGATTTGTTGTCTGAATTGTAGCTGTGATTGTTCAGGCAGGAAGTTTGTTTTTCACAACAAATGGAAATGAATGCTATGAAGTGTATGATTACATTACCCTAGATACACCAGAGAAAATTAAAAAAAAAAAAATCTAAAAAAGTAAGAGTCCCTCAAATTATGAAAAATGATTAAACATAAAAAGGTGTAAACTACTTAAGGAAACAGAAACGGTTGTTAAAATGCCTTTAAATTCTCCTGAATGACCATGGTTAGGAAGGGCGGATGAGCACTATCAATTTCTGTTCAGTTGAAGAGCTATGGGAGTGTTAATTCAATACAGACACATAACTGGCACATGGGGAGATCGTATGGGAGACAAAAGCAGACCTGTGTCAAATAGTATTTTCAGTTTTAGGCTGCCAGATGGGTGAGCTTTAGTAAGTGCCGCAGATTTTGACAGTCACAGGAAAGTATTCACACTCCTGTGACTGTCTGAACCGTCAGACAAACTACGAGTTGTAATATCGAGTAGACTCCACCAAAGAGGCCTAAAACTGAGAACAGAAAGTGTTTTCACACAGTATTTAAATCAGGACTGGTACAAAGAGGAGGGAAACGTTAACTGTGGTGTGTTCTCCCCCAGCGATGACACGAGCTGTGCATCCTGGATCCTCCTCACATCCCAGACCCCTGAATGAGGTGAAGACTTTAGCGGAAGAAGCCAAGTTTCTCTCTAAGCCACTCCTCTGTGAGGTCCTCTGTGTTTCTGATCTCAAACACCTGGAAAACATAAAGGACAGCAAAGAGTGGCATTTACAATTTCCTTCTAATGTGTGTGGTGTTTCATGTAAGTATCATATTCATTCATTTTGTCATACGATAAAATCAGTTGGTATTATCAATTACATCAGTAGGTTCAAAGTTTAACTTTTCACTACAGTTTAGTTTTACCCTTATCTCACATATCGCAATATTGTGTGGGCCGCCACTTATTCCAACAACTGTTTTAAGACACTGTCTCTATTAAAAAAATCAGCCCCATGTGTCTATATCCAAGATAAATGTGTATTTAACACATTTCACTTGCACAAATCAGCCAGATTTCTTCAGACAAATTTAGTAATTCACACATACAACAACAAACGGAGAAATAATTTGCACAGTCCAAGATTTAGAAAAACTCCATCAGTTCTCTTGTCAGATGCAGAGGATCTCAATTCTGGAATAAATATCATCATATTCGATACAGTCACAAGGGCTGAAGGCTTATTTAATGAGCCAAACTACTTGATTTTTATATATTGTGGCCTTCTATTTACTTATGTCTTTCTTTTTAAGCAGATTTATGTCTGTTGGCCACAATAGTCATTTTATTGTGTATTTTATCGTGGGCACATGCCTGTAATTACGTTTTTATCTCTATTTTCTTGTTTGTGTTGTGCTAATGTGTTTCCTCTTTTTCTTTCTTCATTGATACAGTTTCATTTTAGATGTTAGTGTTTTACTTCTCTTTTATTGAGATGTTTTTTAATGAGACCATTTGGGTTTTTTAATCTCAAAATCCTTTTTAATCCTTTAATGTATTACATTTTTTGTGTTTTGTACATATAAAGTAACAAATAGACGACAATATGGAAGAAGCATGGCAGCAACTGATACTGCAATATTTGTTAGATAATGATCTTCCAGGACGAATGGGATAAACTGCCCAAATCCAGGTTTGCAAACTTGTAGAGACTCACCCAAGAAGTTTCAAAACTGTAATAGCTGCCAAAGGGACTTCTACAAAGTACTGAAGTAAGTGTCTGAATACTTTCATTGAGGAGCGATTTCAGTTTCTCATTTTTAATAAATGAGAAATAATTTTCTGAAAACATTTTTTCACTTTATCATTATGGCTTTCTGAGAGTAAAAACATATAAAAAACATAAAAAACATATAAAAAACATAAGGGGTCTGAATACTGTCTGAAGCCACTGTAAATTAGATCACTACATTAATTACCTCTGTTAATACATAAATGTCACTTAGTACAGTGTCACATTAATTACAGCCCAGTCTGCTTTATAATGTAGCATTAGATAAGTTCATCAGTGTAAGTGTATAACAGGCACAGCTGACTAACCTTGGTCAGTTCAACAGTTTGCACCAGTTTGTTTTTGCTTCCTGCGTACATCATCTGCTGCTCTGGCCTGCAACCTGCCACACACAAATAAACCAACATTTACAAAAGTGATTATTACACACCATTCATAGTTTTTAACTGTTGTTTTAAATCTATCAATTAATCAAACTCCAGAGATGTTCTTACCCACTGGGCTGGAGAAGATGAAGCAGAGGGGATAAGACACACGTCCATCATCATGTTGGTACTTATAACTGTAGACGATAAACGTTCCCGGTGCTAAGGACGCTTCACATATTCATATCAGGAGTCAGTGAAATGAAGGACAAGAATGAACACAACTAACTAACAAGAAGATAACATGTAACATAAAATCATCTACTTCAAACAAAAATCCACCTTAAAACAATTAATATGTCACACAGTGAAGGGGGATCATTTAAATACAGTTGAAATAAGACAGATCATTCATTCGAAGGATATCTTGGCTGTCTCTCAGGCAGCTCGTCCTTCAGATCGTCAGGAGAAATGTCCTAAAACAAGACAAACAGGTAATGAACAACTGTCTAATGTTAATTATACATTAACATTTAACACTTTTTAAACATTTTTTTTTATTTAAAATGTGGAGGTTAAACATCAACAGCGTTATGTGCCGATCCAAGAATAAAGAGAGAAAATAAGATGATAACTTGCCTCATGCTCTTCGTCAAGAATAACAAGCTGCTTGTCTTTATCGATCTTCACTGAAGGGTAGAAAAAGAAAGCATAAAAATATTTTAGTCAACAGCAGCATGGAAACGTCGTGAGTTAATAGTACATTATTTTAAGCCAATAAAATACAGAGAAAAAGAACAAAAAAAAAGTCCGTCATTTTTATATTTTGGTTCATATCTTCTGTTCATGTAAATCATGTAAATCTGCTTGATGTCTCTGCCTTTAGAGTCCATGTCGTGCAGACACACTCCTGCAGTAATCCTTTAGCGGCACTGACATTGTGACCCAGAGTTTGATAGTCAAAGTGATGCAACACTACACTGTCACACCACCTGCTGTATTTGAAGGTAACTCTTGTGCACTCACAGCATCTGTATATCCTCCAGCCATATACAGTAGCTAGCTCACTTTTCCTCATCTGATATGTTAAATTTCGTGTTTTGTTTTTTTTTTTGGATTACGTAGGTAAGTTTTGCACATTAAAGTTGTAGACAAGCGTAATCACATTTTAAAAGATCAGCATGTCTCATCCCTTTCTATGATGACCGGCTTTAACTTGCCTCTAACAGTGGCTGTTGGAAACGTCTGCAGATACGTTTGCTATCCGATGTGGTCGTACGACACATTCTATGTACTACTTCTTTTCGAGTAAACCGTGGCCTTAATCCGAGCAGTAAGACCCCTGAGTTTAGTGAAATTCTCCTTTAAGTGTCAGCTAACAGCAGCAGGATGTCAGTGAACACAACTGGGCTTGCCCCTGGATTTCAAACTGCAATAAACAAAGCAGCTTGATCTTAGAAACCAAAATCTGTTCCCGAAAATATTTGAGTGCGATAAAGTCGCTGAATTTGGATTTTATTTGAACCTTCATTCATTTGATGCAGGAGTTTAAAGAGGCAGAGCATCCGCCTCCATCTTGTTCCACACAGCAGGAGGCAGTGACCAATCTGCTAGCTGTGTCAGCGTTAATGATGAATTTAACCCACAAGTACTGGCTTAGACTTTACAGAAGGAGGGCGATTTTTGGGAGCTGACCCAGTTCTGTAAACTCGTAAGGATTTTGATATTTACAAAACTAAAAACACTAATCGTACCCTGCTGTGATAATGACATTCATAATTCTGTGATTGCACTTGCACCAGGGACTCCTCACATCATCTTCCCGATGACTGTTTGACCTTGAACACATTATCAATAAATCTGCAAGAGAAGAAAGTGACGGACACAAAATGTGTTGCTGGTACTCACTGACGATGGCGGCATTGTTGGTCTCCTTCCGGAAACGGAACTCCCTCAGCTTTTTGACCAGATCTTCGTCCACATCACACACCACCAGTGATTCACTCTGACATAAAATAAACAGGCAAAGACATCGATGTGGTCACTTAAATTTCAAATTCATACAAAAACAAGTCACCATTCATTAATTCAGCTTTGTAGAGAGCTCATCTAGCACATAAAGGACCAGGCTATATCAGATGTATTCAATCTATGTAATGTATTGCTAAATAATTTGTGTTTCACGTGGCTTCATGATTTTACAGATAATTGCAGTTTGTGAATTTGATGTGACTACAACTAAAACCATTTTATTCTTAAATTTATTGGTGAAACAAGTCATTTTATGGAATTTAGTCTAAAAAAATATGAGAATATCTGGCATTTGTACTTCTTTTTTTTTTTTTTTAAATAAACCCACCTCTACTACCAAACTTATGCCCTTGCTTATTGTTTCATTAACTTGACATTGAGTGTTTATCTCTTTAAACAATCTGTCTGCATGAGTCAAAACTGATCTGATCCAGGCAACAAAAAACAAAAAAAAAAACCGGTAACATTTCATTGGTCTGAACTTGTCACGTTCACACACAATATTACATAACTCCAGCAAAGACATAAACTCTTTAAGAGTCTGTGCAGAGTCTCTGAATTCTATAATTACACCTTCCTGAACAGATGGCTGGTGGGAGTCAGGATTTCACTGAGCTCATAGAGAGATCTCTGCAGATTAAAAAGAGACTGGAGTGTCTGTGGCTGGGACTCTTGAAAAACAGGATGCATAGGAAAAAGATGAGGAACAGGCATGACAATAAAAGCCGGAGGTGGCCACAGGTTTACTTCTCGTTTAAATTCCTCGGGGGAAACTTAAAACTATCTACTTGATCTAAAGCATCTCATGTGCAAAAATGATACACTAACACCGTCCTAATGTTGGTCGCCACCGTACAGAGTTGAGCTGTCATGACACGCAGTCAAAACCCCAGGGGAAACATTATTCATCATGATTGAGGCGAGCTAGCATGAAGGCAGCTCCCCAAACCAAGACATGTTGAAACACATCACTGCGAGCCACAAAACAGGAAGCCCGTCACTTTAGTCTTCAGAATAAGAGCATGTAATGTCTGTGGAAAAGTTGGCTCAGTTTTTACACTTGCAGTTTTCAAAAACAATTTCTTGCAGAGTGCCAAAATAACGTGGTAAATTAATACTTTATACGCAAATGCTGTGCTTACGCACAAAGTGAAAAAGGGCTGCAACTAGAGACAATTTTTGATTATTCTAACAAAAATACACATTCTTCGAAATGCCTTCGGTGACACCTCCAAAATGTCCCGTTTTGTTCATCCAACTGTCTAAATACACTCAAATACAAGAATATAAAACAGAAAAACAGCAAACTGTCACATTAAAAAAGCTGGAACTATTTCTTTACTTTCTTTTTTTTTTAAATCAACATTTTACAGTTTTACAGTGGTATTTGATACTAACTGTTTGACATGAAAATGATGCTCTGATCAAAAATGCAATGATGTACATTCACATTGTTTAAAGTACAGTGTTTAACTGAGTACAGCGTTTTGTGTGATTTTCTTTTTCACTGAAATCAATGTTTGTTCCAGTACAGGGATTTTATTTTGAAATCCAACGCCGGTAAACCGTCGATGCTTTTCTGACTGGCTTGATACAATGGACAGAGGGTGGAACTATAATGCTAAGCTAGCAGGCTAGCGCTAGCCAATCTGCGACCTTACTTTTTCTCAATAGTCCCCGGAACTTCACATTAGTTGCGAGCACACGATTAAAAAGCAGAGACCAAAATATCGACAGCTCTCTCAAAACAACACGGAACAACTTACCATTGTTGTAGAGTTAAAATTTCCCTGAAGCTGCAGCTGCTGCTCTGACTGGTAGGGACGCTTTCAATGTTTTTTTTTTTTTTTTACTTCACATTATCTTGTGACTGGTTTGGCCAATCCCACAACGAGGCAAGCGCCCCCCTCCTTCAAAAGTTGGTCATAAATCTGTCCTCACTATTGTCATACAGCCCCGGTAGTTTATTAAATATGAATAAACTATAGATAATACTATAAATAATTATAAAATATTGATATTTTATAATTGTATGATAAAAAGGAGTCTGAATAAAACGATCACAAAAATAAAGTAAAACCTCAATGTCAGCTTATTGTTTAGTTATTTTTATTAAAGCATTAAAAATGTGATAGACAACAAAACAACAAACAGTTGGATGAGCATTCCTGGGGAAGCCTGTTATTCATTAATTCCTGGTATTAAGTAATGATCACTAGGCCCTGCAGTGGATATCAGGCTGTACTGTCCTGAATCTACTGGGCCCCATGACAGGAAACACTGACCTAACTTACCTTTAAGCTGCCTTTAATTCCTACTCTCATCCAAGCAAAGAGCAGCTTGACCATATCTATGTTGCATCTGATCAGACTAAACTGCCATGGCTCCCTTTGACAGGCAGTATCATCTGAATGCCATGTCCCAGCCATTCCTACTTATCTAGCTCCACTAGTCTTAGTAACACAAATACCAATACAGCATAAAAAAAACTCCAGCATGAGTAATTTGTGTGCAATTGCAGAATAGAAACTCCTCCAAATTCACAATAATATCACAGAGGTCATGACTTTAATGTTCTCAATACTACTTGCAACCCTGTCCTCTCTTATTATATATAACATTTTTGTAGTTTGTCCAAATGGTCTTGTATTCTTAAAATCCCCATTAAAAACTGTTCCAAAATGCCCTTAATTTTAGTCTTTTTTTATAGAATCAATGGTGGATTAGCAACAGGGACGAGCAGTCAGCAGTTCTAAACTGCGATAAACAATTTCTAAATGGATTTTGTTCCAGATGTCCTGCAGCACTTTTCCAGAAGATTAGAGTTCAAACAGTCCATTGTTGATGTCTCCTCAGTGAATTAAAGAGCTAAGAAGGCAAGTAAAGTATCACATTAGAGCAGCATTTTCCACAACCTGGCAACTCAAAAGTTGTTTTTATTAATGACATATCACATCACGGATCTATAAATCATTAGTAAATTATGTATTATAAACCATTAGCATAATCATTCATTAGAGCTTATAAACTCTTTATAAATGGTGCTTTATCAGGAAGTGGTACTCACATGACTTTCTTCTTGATTTAGAGAAATTGAATTTTAGAATGACACTGTAAATATGTTACACAATTGAAGAAAATAAGATAAAATAGTAACTCCTCCCAAACTTTCTTAAAACATGTTTGTGCTCTCATCTTCTTTTTACTTTTATATAACTTGGGTGTGTGTCCGCGCGTGTGTGTCAGAATACGTCATCAGTCCTTCCCTCTTCAAGAGTTGTAGTTGTTGTGTGAGCAGATCTAACGTTAGCTTGTAGTCCTGTCCCTCGGCAGGCAGCTAAATTAGCTGGCTAACTGGCTTCCACAGCAGGATAAATCATCTCTGTTTCCCCGTTATTAACATCTGAGAGGAGTCCATCTTCTGGCGAGGTAGCGTGAAACATCGGCTTTCACTCACTTTACTCTCTTTTGACTCCACGAAGCTAAAATAAACAAACCAGCTAACCATCTGAACAGTTAGCTACTGTTAGCTAGGTCCGTAGCAAACTGTGTAACATCAGTTAACTAGGTATTTTAAGAACTAAACCCTGGTTAATGTGCAGCGAAAGTCAGAGTAGCATCTCTATAGGTTGTCGTTAAAATAATTCGGTTAAGTCAAGCTATTTTGACTCTGCCCAAATGGATTTTGTTGATCACCAGTCGGGGATGGAAACATTTACTGTGCCATTACTCAGAGCCTCGGTGTGACATGCCTTGCACTGTTTGACAGTTTGTTGTAATCGCTCGTTATAGCCCCGTAATGAAACTAATGAAAGTTGTGTCTTGTTTTGTTGCAGATCATGGCAGATTTCTCGGTGAGTTCCTCGTTTTAAGGTGTTTTTAATTTACTTGTGGCCAGTGGTTAAAAAAAAAAGCTTTTACTAAGAGTAACTCTCACTTTCTCTTGTACTTCAGCTGGCAGATGCTTTAGGAGACGACAGCCCGAGCCAGGCAAAGAAAATAGGCAATAATAACCCGTCTGCTCCTGCCAGCCATCCCCCACCTCCTACAAATCCAGGATGGCCTGGTTCAGCCCCTGGAGCACCCACCCAGCCCTCTGCTCCGGGTGACTTCACTGGTGGATCATCCGGCCCTGGAGCACCAGGTCAGTTCCCGTTCCCTTCTGGTCCTGGAGCGCCAGGGCAATACCCAGGACCTCCTTCAGCACCTGGTGGGTTCCCCCCTGGTCCTGGGATACCTGGACAATATCCACCTGCACCAGGAGCTCCAGGGCAGTTCCCTTCCAGCCCTGGAGCCCCTGGGCAGTTCCCAGGGCATTACCCACCTGAAGGAGCTCCAGGACAGCTACCTGGAGGCCCTGTTCCTTACCCAACTGGACCATTTCCTTCTGGCCCTGGAGCTCCCCCTGGGCCTTATCCAAATGTGCCTTTCCCAGGTGGTCAGCCAGGAGGAGGAAATGGCATGTATGGACCAGGCGGTCCAGGTGGATTCCCCCCTCCAGCTGGCCCTGGCTCTTTCCCTGCGTTCCCTGCTGGAGGCTTTCCCCCAATACCCACTGGGTCATGGGGACCACCTGCAGGTGGAGGCTTCCCTCCTGCTCCTGGCCCCTTCGGACCTGGCCCTGGGCCTATGTGTCCATATGGTGGGCCTACTGCTCCAGGTGGCATGCTGGTGAGTACCAATGCTTCTTATGAATAACATTATATTGCTTGCTTGCTGCATTTCTTTGCTGGTGTGTTTTTGCTCTGGTGTGCAGTGGAGCATCTATCTTGGTGTGGTAGTCTTTCATATTCAGGGTGGGAAATTACAACCAGCTTCCAGCTAAATGTACTTAAACCTTTCACTGTGGGTGACAAGTTCATCTACACTGCCAGCCACTTTAGCAGGCCACCTGCTATCTAGACATTCAGCTGTACTCTAGCACAAGGTTTCTTCTAACATATTCAATAAGGCTCATTTGTTGTCTGCCTACTACTGCAGCTGGTGGAAGAAGAGTTTCCTTTCTTGTTGGTATTTACTGCAGGACGGTGAACTTTCTGTGACGGCTGTATTTGGATTACTTTTTCTGTCTTTGGCTCTGCTGCGGTGCAAAGCAAAACATAACGCAGAATCAACAAATATTCAAAAGTAGTTATCAAAAAATGTATTTTTGTCTTTCAGCCCAGATATAATCCACCATATAATTGAAAGCAATGAACTCAACTTTTCAGTCGGACAAGGACGTCACCTCCAGAATCACCATATGGTTTGATTAGTGCCAAAAACTGAATTTTCATATATATATAAATATATATACACAGTATACAGTTATGTTTTCATAAAGTGAGATGATTTAAAATTACACTTTTACACAAAACTCACGTTAATGTAATAACACACGTGTTCTCTGCTGAAATCACAGTCTGTATGTTTATCACTCTTTGCACATTGACTTGTCATTTTTGTACATGATAATGATAAAAAGGTGTTTGTAGTTTTCTCTCATTTTGCTGTAAAGTCACTTTGTACAGCTGATGCCTTGATGTTGTAAAAATGTTGAAAACAGATTTTACTTTGTCATTGTTTCAACTAATCATTGTGAATTGCGTAAGAGTGGAAAGAGGTGGTGACTCATTGGACATGTTGCTGTAGGAATGTGGGCAGGGTCAAAGCTTTGAATAATGTTTAACTAAAAATTGCCTGTTTACTTTAATGTCATTAAACACTTTGCTGTATATGACCATGACTATTAGTGATTAAATGTGAACCTTTCTGCAATTGCCCATGAGGATATAATGAGCAGGGTAAACATTCTTTTCAATTTTTGTACGTTGCTTAATTAGCTTCAAAGATACATAAGCAGAAATTAACTTCATTTCAAAATAAAACATAACAATTTAATATATTGTCATGATCTAAAATGTAAATTTTTCTTGCAGATGGTGCCGTATGATCTCCCTCTTCATGCTGGAATTATGCCACGACTTTTGATCACAGTAGTCGGGGAGCCCATACCTGGTGCAGACAGGTATGATAAGAGTCTGCCTCTAATTCTGCTGTCAGTGATGCTCCCTGTTTGAGGAAGACACATAACTGAATGCCTGATAATAACCATGCATCCATCCTAATCCTCCAGATCATGACAATGTTGTCATCTTCAACACATGATTAACGTTAGCCCACCCTACACGCTGCACCATTTCCTTCCTCTTTAACATGGAGTTGTTAACAATGAAAGGAGGCCTTTGTTCTGCAAAATGAAAAAAAATATGTTCTTATTTTTTTGTTCAAGCTATTTTTATATTTTATAAAACGTATATTAGAAGAATGATTAATTGTCAGCAGCAGCACATAGTCCTACTATATCTTTTCCCTTTTTTTTTTTCCTTTTTTGCAGGTTCAATGTTGACTTCATCAAAGGTCAAGATGTCGTCTTTCATTTCAATCCTCGGTTTCATGAGCAAACTATTGTTAGAAACTCCAACCTGGGTGGATGCTGGGGTCCAGAGGAGCGGGAAGGAGGCTTCCCGTTTGTTCAGGGAAGCCGTTTTGAGGTAAAGTGTTAAGAGTCTTGGAGCTGCAGCAAACATTAGAAAACTCAAAAACTTCAATATGTTGTACATAATTGAGCCTCTCAGTGTCGCACGCACCGATGGTCCACCGGCATAAGTGTTTTCACTTATTGTGGTTCTCAGAACTGTGTTGGTACGCACAGACCAGACGACTCTTTTTTTTTTGTAGCATTTTTGCCATTTAGTTTGATGGCTAGATTAGGGGGGTGATTTGCAACATAGGTCCCGAAATTGAACCAGGAGTATGGGACCAATGAGCCAGAATAAGTGAAAACACCTATTTGGGTGTGTGGGGCCTTTAACATCAGACAAATGACCAATTCAGGAAAATGCTGCAGCGGGGGGGGGGACCTTTGTTCCAAGTTGTCAGTCAGCTCGATAGTGGTTGCTAATTGCTCAGTTGGTCATGGACAGAAGGGAGTGGATGTGTTCTTAACAGTGCAAGTCCTGTGTGTCACACAAGATATTGAACATGGGTGAAACTCCAATACTAGACTTGTTAGTCACGGGTACGTACTGCGACCTCACCATGTACACAACACCTGAGTCCACAGCTGTTTACGCACATGTCAGGGCAGCATCATAAAATTCTACCAAACCACAATTCAACCAGAAATGTTGCATTAAAAAAAAAAAAAAAAAAAACCCTGATCAAATGTTATTTTTGCAGTGGACATTTGTTGTTGCCGTTATTTACAGTACTACAGGTTTACTGGTAAACCTTCACTGACACTATTACAGTATGATAGTAAACTGTTCACCACATTTAAGCATTTAAGCCCAAGGGGACATCTTCATTTTGCTTGTTTTGTTCAACCAACAGTCCCAACCCCAAAGGCATTTAGTTTACTGTCATAGAAGACAAAGAAAAGCAGCAAATATTTACATTTGAGAAGCTGGAACGACTCGAACGATTTTTTGGGCAGTTTGCTTAAAAAATGACTTGTGATTAATTGATCCATTAATCGATTAATCGTTTCAGCTCTAGGTGAATTTCCCGCAGTTCCCTTGTCCTGACCGGTTTTGTATTGCTCTCCCTGCAGCTGAAGATCCTTGTAGAGGAGGACATGTTTAAAGTGGCGGTGGACGGCACTCACCTGCTGGAGTACGAGCACAGAGTCGGCGGGCTGGAGGAAGTCACCCTGCTGCGAGTCTGCGGAGACATCACCCTCTACAGCGCAGCCCCGAGCATGATCTGAATCTCAGAGCTACGAAGCCACAAGCTGTACAGGAGACATAGGTCAAATGTAACCACTGTATTTCTGTATTTGAAATCCCTTCAAATACTTTGATGCATTTGATGGAATTTGCAAGGCACAATAGTCAGCACAGTGCAGTCTTTGCTCTCCTGGCAGATTAACCCAGGTCTGCACACTATAATCCTTTTCTTTTTTTACTGGATGACTTCCCATTTTATAGCAACTCACAATCTGATATATTTTATGACATAACAGCGTAGTATTCAACGGGGTGAAGTGCATTTAAAACAGATATTTTAAGGAAATACTAATTTATTCCTAATGAAAAGATTGTAGGCCAAGTGGAAAAGTGTGACAATGTCCCAAACATTTCATATATTTTCCACTAGTATGCTGTATTTTGTTTACAGTACGTGTATGCTTATTATTCTGTCCTTTATATCAAAACATTGATAAGCCTTTGTAATGCATGAGAGTATGATGATGCTGAAAATCAACTAGTTCTCCTTCTCAGTCGTATATCAGTGCTGGCCAACACACAGTAGGCTAATGATGAAGTTTCTTCAAATTTATCTAAATACAGACTCTGATCTCCTCCTTTGTTCAGTATTAATCCTCTTGAGCTCTCGGACTGGAGGGTCGGGTGCTGTTTTACGAATTATGATTTCATGTTGAAGTCAGATCTACTTACTCTAAAAAACATTAGGGTCAAATTTAAATGTAGAAAAGGGGAGGAAATGGGCCCTATGATTTGTTGCCAAAGATAACAGTGGTATAGTATTTTTAGAGTGTTTGCTTATAAATAAAGGGGCAACAAATGAATACTGACTGATATTGCTGTTTTATTTAGAATGATGTACACTTTTCATGAGCTACCTGCCTGCGCACATAATAAACATTAGTTTCCATGTACAGATTTCTTTATTTTACCCCAAACATGGAGAAAGTTAGTTCTCTGTTAGCACTCAAAACAGGGTTTCTAGGGTGTAGCCCCATGTATTGGAAAGTTAATATTACACTAATAAAATGTACATCGTTGATTGCACTCCCTGTTATACCTGCTACAGTGACAGTTATAGTTACTGTTTATCTTAGAGATCAAGAGTTTACATACAAAACAAGAACAGCTGAGGATGTCTGAAGATTCTCCATCATCCAGGTCACGGTTATCGAAGAAGGCAGGATGAAGTATAATGCAAGACAGTTCACCACAAATTGCAGCCTCCAAATGATAATACAATTGAATCTCTTTTCCAGTTTTTACTAAAACTGCAGATATCCTAGTTTTTGTTTTCACAAAACAGTTTCTAGACTTAGAAACTAAGTCTAGACTACTAGTTCTGTGGAAAGAAATGTAGTGTCGATAAGAGAGGCCAGAGGAGAATGGCCAGACTGGTTGGAGCTGGTACAAAAAACCATGGGAGTGTTTTCTTGGCACCGACTGGACCCCTTACTACCAATCAATCATGGTTTGATTACCCCAGCCGATCACAGTATTGTTGCCGAACTGCAGAATTGTCATCGTGTCAAAATGAAACAGAAACTCAAATGAATGTTTCCACCATTTTGTGGAATTCATGCCACTAAGAATTAAGGCTGCTTTGATAGCAAAGGGAGGATCTACCCAGTGTCAACATGATATTCCTAGTAGTGTTCATTGAACGTGGACTTGCAGTAGTGTATTTTATGTTGTGATATTGCTGAATCCTTCCTCCACCACTGAGAATGTAACATAAAAATAACAATTAGTGTAAACGGTAGCAGTATGTAGTCGTATTAGTAGTAATATTACATTACATTACATTATGTGGGGGCGTTTTATGTGTAGTATTCTGCCTCTGTGCTTTCTGATGTGTAATTCAAAGGTCAACCTGCAGTTCCGCCTCAGCCCATCAGGGGGCAGCACAACCCCAAACCACCGAATGTGCCGAAGGAAGCAAATCGAAACTCCTCAATGAGTTCACCTTCAGATAAATAGTTTGCCCCCCTCTGCGTTTTCTCTGAAGACTTATTTTAATCGTTTGGTGTGTTGACAAGATGAATGGCTCTCTGCACTCCTCGTCCAACGTGGTGGATATAAAACTGAAGCGAGGACCGGCAGGTAAGAGGAAAACTTGACGTGCAGTTAGCAGGAAGCTAGCTACGTAGCAGCGAAAAGCAGCGATGTCAGGCTAAGTGTGTATCCTCCCCCAAGCTAAAGGCTAATTTGCGAATCAAAACTTAAAACCCCGTCCCAGCATGTGTTGTCGTGGACTGCACACAAGGAAGTTATGTTGTGGGAGCCTGTTGAGCTCTAAAATCTACGTTTAATTAAAAAAAAACATTGATTTATGCACTTCGACGCTGTGTTAAAATCTTTAAAAGTAACGGCCTGGCAGACTGACAGTTTCTTCATTGAACCAATGGCGCTGGACAGTCTAGCAGGTTTATTTAGCTTAAAGAGAGAGTAATGTCTGGTTTACGTTTGGGATTTATTATGTAACATTCCGTGAAGTGGCCTCTCTTTGAGTAACAGCACAGTGTTAGAGGGATTTCTCCTGAACTTTGATCAATTGAGATAAATGACATGATTGTATCAGCAACTTCTGCCCTGGCAAACATTGAGATTTGTGCCTATTGAATTTTACTCAAAAACCTCTGTCTCATGCCAGATATTGTTTTTGTCTTTCTTTCTTTTTTTTTTTCAGGCTTGGGCTTCAATATAGTTGGGGGCGTGGACCAGCAGTTTGTTGTGGATGACAGTGGCATATATGTGTCCAAAATAAAAGAAGACGGAGCTGCAGCGTTGGATGGGAGGCTCCAAGAGGGTGACAAGATCCTGGCGGTAATAAATGTTGATTATCATCCAGGAAGTGTAGGATGTAGAGGACAGATATTTTGTGTGTGTTATCTACACAACATTTGCACAGTTCTGGCCCTCACAAGATTCCTGGGTGAAACATTGGCATAGTTCTGGAGGTTTAATGAAGCAGTCACCCTACTTAAAATGACAATTACTTTTCTTGATAGAGACTTGATATTGTAAGATAGATCATTTTATAGAGCCCAAAAACCTCCTAAAAGCAGCCTATGTAGCCTGGGAGGCGAAAACCTGGGTCACTTTGCTCCTACTGGTTAAGTTTATTGCTTTAAGCGTACGGTAACAATTGAGGCTGAGATGAGGCTATCAATGACAGCTGGATAGTCAGACGACACTGTTTAGATAGATTTGAGTAAGTACATTGAATTTAAACTCTTAAGGACATAAATAGGATTTTGAAAAACTCACCAGTGGAAATTCAACCTGAATATTTAGTTAGCTAAGTAAAGTTTTTGTTTCATGTGGGTTGTGTACCTTAGATCAATGGAGTCAAGCTGGAGAATCGGACACATAAAGCTGCAGTGGAGCTGTTCAGGACAGCAGGGGAGGACGTGGAGCTCTGTGTTCTGAAAAAGGTAGGAGCCATGATGCCTTAAATGAATTCTTCCTAGTATTCAAATGTTTCCAAACACATCTTATCGTGCACTATAGAGTCTCTCCGTCACAAATTGAGAAAATAAAGGATGCAAACTGTCTATCAGGGGGCTCATAGCGATTGTATTGACAGTCTACAAGCTACAACCAGTAAAGCTAAAGACAAATTCTCTCTGTGATGGTCCAAATCTGCACTAAACATACAGCAGATAAGTAGCCACCCTAATCAAAGTAGCTTTTTCTGTATGAAATGGCACAACTGATGTTTCTCCACAGAAGGCTAAAGTTTTTTTTTTTTTTAAATGGATTTTCAGGGCAGTGGTTTCTGTTTCAGACATCACTTTATCAGTGAACTATGTCCCGCTGCTAAAGATTACAAGTGAAGACAGGGCAACATCTAGTTCCACTTTCTGTGCCACTGTAATTTCTCTGAGCAATGCTGTGCCACAGCAACATGCTAAGAACAAAGAGATGGAGGCACTTCTTCAACAAAGCAGTGTCTATAAAACTTTATAACTAAGCCTTTTACGTGGAGCATTTTCTCTCTGACAATCACATTTTCAACGGTAATAAGCCTCCTGTTGTTTGCTTTAATGCTACTTGTACTTCCTTTCTGGTTCAGTAGCGCAATGCCAACAAGTTGAACCCAGGCTTCCAGTCGCAGCCAAATTTGTCTTGGCTTCTTTTCCTCTTTATCTACTTTTGGTTTTTTGAATTAGTGGAATGGATGAAATGGTTTTGGAAGCAGGTTCGGAGAGTCCAGCCATGTATGGACAGAAATTTCCCCCGCTGGTGGTTCGGAGGCTTGGATTTCACTCTTATAGCCATACCCGTGGTTTTGGCTTTGCTTTAGCCATTAATTACTGGACATATTTTTTATTCGAGCTGTCTGTTTTCCAAGGGATGGCATATGTTTTTAAAGTAAACAGTTTTCTTAGCTTCTTTTAGGCAGTGATCAGGATCAGTTCAGTTTTCTTTGGTGGGAGTTTGATAATTCTTCTATGGTTTTTATGTTCATGGCTTTTTTTTTTTTTTTTAAAAACGATGTGGTAAAAAAATAAGAATTCTCTGAAATGCAATATTTTATTCTTCGGTCCACAATTGCTAATAAATCATTACATTCAGTAGGTTTAACAATAAATGAATTTGTTGCCTGTTTCAGTTTGACATGTGGTTTTAAGCTCTTTCTATGTAAATATCACCTCCAGTGCAGCTTTAATCTTTATTCTTGTTTTCATATCTGTGTCTTGCAGTTGCCCTCTCACATGAACGGACCCTCACCCTCACACTCAGAATCTTCTGGAGCTTCTCTGGTAATGCTGGGTGCTTTTGTGGGAGCCATCGCCCTCATGTCATTTTTTTACATACGGCACAGTAGGAAACCCTTTTAACCAAGCTGACGACGACTGTATGTTATTTTTAAGATCAAACACTTTGCTAAAGGCCAAAGAAGTGAAAGAGGGAACAAACTCTAAACAGTAGAGCTTATTTTATTTTATTAGTAAGTGTTGGTGTCACCGATGAGTTTCTCCATCTACATGTTTATTATGGAATTAATGGTAGCTTCTTGACACCCTTCTTATGCAAGAGGATGCTCTCTTACCACAGAGATGACTTCTAATAGATAACTTTGTGATGGTAAGGAGATAGAGGAGGATGAACACATGACATTCCTGCTGCTGGGCTGAGCTGGGCTGAGCTCTGGCAGAAACAAACAGTAGTTTGCAGAAAAGTATTAAAACCTTGGGTCAAGTCAGACTGACTCAAGCTTCAGGGTCCATTCACAAACTGAAATACGGTGTTGTGTTCAGTCACTCGTGGGCCTGTACCCCCCATCACTGAATGGCAGATCTGTCGACGTGAGAGGAACCCATTCCTGGGTTTTCAGTTTGTCGCTGTTCAAAGTTCACGGCACTGGGTTTGATTTTCATTTTGCTCTGTTGCACAGAATCATTGGAGGAGCAGCATCCTGCTGTGCTGCTTAGATTGAGCTGGGGGTTGAAAAAGCCTGCAGTTCATCTGATGAATCGTGTCCTGTAATGGACTTTTTGAGTGCCTTTTGCTGTATATTCCAAGTAGGTGGTTCATGTTGCTCCTTAGTGTTGATCAAAATGAAAATCAACCCACTACATACCATTAAATTAATGGATACGGATGGCAACTTTTTTTTTTCTTGTCAACAAATCCCGTTAATAGCTCCAAACGAATAGCGAGTTAGTCAGTCTCTTAATGCTTTCCAACTTCCTCAGCCACAAAACCACTTGTTCAATTCACAGATTTATAGTTTAATTTTCAAAAACAGCTCAGTAATTCCCTAAAACAGCTGGGCACTGTAGCTTTTACCAAACGTTATGGGGACTATTTTTAACTGCGGATTAATACACATTCAGTTATATAGAGAGTATTTCTGGCAGCAGGGCAGTATATATATGATTGAGTCAAAATTAACTCTTGTGCCCATGATCATCCTATCATGTCATCCAGTGTGTCTCATTTCAAATAGCTAACAATGGAGCTCTATGGCACAGAGGAAGAAGATAAATCAGGAAATGCTTGTTAGTAAAAGTAATTCATTGTCGGGATTTGTTGACAGAAAGAAAAACGTAGATTATCACCAGACTTATCCTTTTAAAGCAAATATATATTCTTGTTCAGAGTATCACCAATTAGTTTCTCTTTGAAGAGTTTATTATGAAGCATCACATGTTCACTCAGGGTGAACCATTAAATATGTATATAATGTGGTGAGCAGCCCTTTTCCTAATGTCCAGTCACAGCTGATGCTGCCATGTTTGTGTCACAGCCATTTTAAAACATTCTCCTAATTTTGCATCGAGGCCAATGCTTGCAGTCACATCGCACCAACCGCTGAGTGATTTTTCTTGTGGGATGAATATGAAAATTGGAGCATGTTGTCAGAAAGGAAAGGAGTTGTTCTTTTGTGTGAAGGACCAACAGCTTGATAGTGAAAAGCAGCTCGAGCCAGTTCCATTTAAAGGAGTTTTCTAAAAGATGAGTTGCTGTCAACGACTTTAAATGTTTTTTGTTTCTTTTGCACTAGCCACAATCATGGAACTCCTCCAGTAACGGCCATAGAGCAGATGAATTGTATGAATTTTGTGTACTGGGTGTATTTGTCCACATTTGTCAGTCTGCAGTGCATCTATCATGTAATTGTCTCTGACTGTATGTGGCTCTTGTTGTCTGTAAATACATTTCATGTCGCTCTGCTGATTGGGACTGTGAATATGTGCAGTATACCAGAGAAGTAGATCAGAAGCACTACTAAATTATGCAAATACTGTGTGTTTGACATCTAAGCACCCATTAAAATTCATGTTGAATTCACCTGGTTTTCACCTTTTCTTTTCTTTTCATTTCTAGGCAGGAAATTCATATGTTTCACTTAAATCTAAAAATGCTACTATTCTTGATATTTTTTTTTTAGTCCTGCCAAAAGAAAAAAGATGGATGTAAAGATAAGATTGTTAAAAAATAAATAAATACTATCAGTCAAAATGAGAGAGTTTCAGAAGTATGTGGTATTAAGTCAAAATTAAGAGGTATTGTTACATCAAAAGCTTGATTTACTGTTAAAATTCAGATTTGCCAATTGTATAATATATACAATTATATACTAAATAAAAATTGAGACTCTAAGTATGTTGTCATAATTTTATAATTTTCACAGTAAGTGTAAAAAAAAAAGTGTGTTGCTTATGTAGCTCACACTTTTGACAAAAGGCCCGTGTCTGTCAAGTTGGCAAACGACAGGTACATCACCGGAATCTGTCAGTTTAGTTTCAAAATAAAAGTGGACACTGTTGCTTGATTTTCACTAAATAAATAAATAAAAATTTAAAAAACTGTCCTTTCAGAATACAGTAAATCATTTCCTTAAGTCTAATGCTGTTTACTATGAACATAATACAGTGGGGAGGAGCATAATACAGTGGGGAGGAGGGGAATAAATTAACGACTCAGCTAATTTGTTATCACAAAATAAATCACGAAACCTGTTGTATTGTTGCATGTTATATCGCTTTTAACCCTTTTATTTTTTACTGAAGTGTTAATCCATTTTCAGTAAAAAATAAAATAAAATAAAATAAACAACTTCCACGAAAAAAAAACTGTGTTTTGAGCCAACGGACCTTCAAAAAAAATGTGACGGAACCGTTTTTTAACGGTCGGTGTAAGTGGCTCGTGCACCACGCGGAGGTGAAAATGAAGCAGATCTCAGCATTTCAGCATGGAGCTGGTGGATCGAAATAGTAAAGTGGTGTCTTTTGTAACAAAATGTGCTCCGGTACACCCACCAGCAGCACTGTCTCACATCAGCTGTTGGAGGATGTTGCCTCGGAGGCAGATATGATGTAATCAAACGCTTCAGCCCCGTCCAGAGAGCGGCAGGAAGAGAGCCGGAGCTGGATAACAAGCTCGCCATACGGACGGATCGTGGCTGCCTCGCTACTTTGTGAAATACGTTTGAAAATCATCATCGAGCGGTTTGGGTGAACGGTTCGGTGTTGTTGGAGGAGTCATGTCGCGGAGGTTTGTGCCGACCAGCTTCCCCTCCCGACTTCGAAGAGGATGCTGGATGCGGGAAAGCAGTAGCAGCGGCACCGGCCGGGGATGCTGCTGCTGGTGAACCGGACTCCCCTATCAGCTTCAATTAACCGCCATGGCTCAGGAGTCCTCTTCCACAGCTGCTCCAACATCTTCCGCGTAAAAAATGGCCTCGACATCGGTCCGCCCTTGCTGTCCCCCGGCGCCTGCTTCAGATTTCAACATTTGTAGGGCCTTTTTGTCCGTTATGGACCACATTATCAACTCTGATCTGATATTTTGAGCTGCTGTGGTTGCTTTTATTTCGCAAATACACCTCCTGCCTGCATCGGTTTCCCTTGCAACAGATATTACTGGAGCCGGGACATGGGCCGCGTCCACCGCTGCACCCCGCGTTGCCCTGCAGGGATCTGAGCTTCATGCTTTCCTGACCTTACTTGCGATAATGGCTCTGTGACATCTCGCTAAGCTTCAGTTGCCCGGTTGCTTTTGGACATTTTCCCCTGGCTGGCTTTACGCGCAGAGCTGTGTCCCATGCAGTAGTTGTTGCCCTGCGGGGGGAATGAGCAGCCTCCATCCGTCCAGCAGAAGCCTGCCCGCTGCTGCTGCTGCTGTCCACCGTGTGGCCCTGTGACTTCAGCGGGGTGTGGAGGTGTGCTGACGACCTTAAAACGTGGAGGGTGGGGACGTTCGCCTTTCCAGCTCAGGTTTAAACCATGGCCAATGAACCTGTTATCCTTAACGTGTATGATATGGTAAGGACCCATCTCAACCAAACTGCACTCACTTTTTTTTCCTTTTTTTTTTCTTTTTTTTTTCTTTTTTTTACTTATTTCTTGTTTTCTGTTTCTGGCTGAGACTATTTCACCAACTTGGGAAGTGAATGCACCACTAGAGATGTCAGGCCCACACACACCTGTTTCATTTGTGCACTTCACAGCTATTTTCATGTTGCAAAGAGCCAGCTGGACTCAAATATGACATGGAAACAAGGCAGCAAAAACCTGTTAAAATAAACAATCTTCCATGTTGATGTTTCTAATGTAATACTAAACCTGTGGACTTCTAACAGCTGACTTAGTGTTAAATTAAAATAATTTTCTTTGGGATATGGTGAGCAGGCACACCCATGTTCAAAGATTTACTGCAACACTAATTGAAGAGGAGACTGGGAGGTATGCAGCCTATACTATAGCTACACAGTGTGTACGTAGCCTTAGCTGGTATGCTGCAGACGTGCTGTGTGTTATAAAGACAAATTCTAGGTCTATCTTCTAATTCAGCCTTTACTGAGCAGTATCACTGTGTTTTAACTTGTGGATAAAGATAATCTGGTGATATTTAGGCATAAAAAAAGGTAAAAAGTAGAGAAGAATGAAAGCACATAAGACAATACAGTTTCATGTTCCAACCTCAGCCTCCCTCTGACCTCTGTCACTGTGCTCACATGATGCAAACACACACACATAAACCCACACACATCAGCAAAGGACAAGGATCCTCATTCAGACATGTGCCCACTGCCAGGTCTTCACATACTGTACTGCTGAATAGTGTGCTGTGTGAGTATTATGCAACATGTTGCTGTAAATGCAAAGAATGACTCTATTTCTCTCCTGGTTTACACTTCACCTCAGTTCTCATTATTCAGCATTCATGAGCAACATGGATGCACAATATTGCTTTCAGTGTATTGTAGTTTTAAGCAGAAATAAGGACATGTCGAGTGTTTATTAATGTATTCGTCAACCATTGCAATCTCCATCCATCCTCTAATAAACACTTAGTACATTTTAATGATGTATGATTAGACACATGACCCTACCGTGTATTTTAAAACATTTATTAAACCGTTTATAGCTGCGTGCAAATCATTCACATGTGACTATAGTTCAGTTCAAAACTCAAGAGGGGTTCATTCTAGACAGATGATGTAGTAGTTACACAAAAAAAAATTTAGAGAGCTTTTTGCCATCATGAGAGTGAAGAAAACGTATGAACAAATATTGATATTAAATACTAAAATAGTTAAGTTATGGAGTACTTTATGTAGAAATGTATTTACAGATAATGAAATGTGTACAAACGCATGTCATTTGAATCCTGACAGTGAAATCTACTATATAGGGAGGTAGATAATGAGTGTAATTACATTTAATGGCCATAGCAGAAAAGAAACACCATAAATAGCATCAAAAATTAGGTTTAGAATTATAACTAAATATAACAAATAAATCCTTTATACTTCATTACATTTAGTAAATATGGATGACTGTCAAAAGATTGGGTTGGTGGTTTGGCACATATGAAAACATTAATATCAGGCAGTTACTTGGAGAAAGCCTGAGAGGTGAGATTATCAGTATGAGCTGTTGATATGTAGCAGTCTTTCAGTGATGAAGCTCATTTGGATTCTTGTTTCCCATAAATGTTTTATTTGAAAGAAAATATAAGCGCTCATAATGTTTGATCTTTTTTTATGTATTCAGAAGACACATATTTTGTAAGTATTTTCATATATAAAAAGTGATTTCAGCTACATTGCATGGTCAACCATTCATTATTTGTTTATACATCAGTTACAGATGCTTAATGAGAGCAGTTGTTAATAAACATGTGGATAAACACTTAAAATGTCCTTATATATACTGCTTATAAATAGAGTTTTACACATAAAAGAACGAAAATAGCTGCACTTGGAGATTATTATTCACTAGAGTGAGATGAAGTACTTGAAGTTAAGTATTTCAACAAGTGCTCTCATCCTTGAGCTTTCAAGACCTTCTTCATATTTTGAGAAATTGTACAACTATGAGACAACAGCGTGATACGTGAATACAGCCAAAAACCAGACTGTGATTTTAAGAACGCTCACATAAAACTTTAATCACACACTTAAGCTCAAGACCGGCTTCAGTTTTGGACTCTTGGCTCTCTCCTGATACCTTGAGGACTTCAGTGGGGCCGGAGGTGACGGCTCAAACAGCTGATTTAATTCCAGGGTGGCTCTGCAGTGCCAGGACTTAACAGGTCATACAGCGGCTGTTGAAATGGGAGAAAGTGATCCTGAGCGCAGCGACAGTCAGAGTCAGCCTTAAATACTTTGCAGAGAATTAAACACAAGAACACGAGAAGGCGACGGGATCCGCCTGAGTGTGAATAATATGAGGAGGGAGGAGGATGAGTCGATCATCTTCGATGTGAAATCAGCGTGACTGGTGGATGTGTGTAGTGGCGCATGCTGTATCTGCATAGGCAGGAGGTTGTAGGGGAGGCTGCATGGATCTCTGCAGCAGTGCTGGCGTGCAACATGATTTCACAAAAGCAAGAGAGTGAGGGTGCATCGCCAGAGAAGAGATTTATATCTGTGACTATGAAAGCTTCACTAATGTTGCCAGGACCGATTTGTTAGGGTGAAGTCAGGTCATTTGACAGGCGACTTGTCAATCTCATTTCACTTAGGTGGAAGAATTTGCCCTTGTAGATGCTTTCTTTCCAGGAAGCTGGGAGGGTTGCTCCGGTTAAAAGATTTCCATCCATTCCTGGTGTGAAATGACAAAAGCTAGAGAGCCAATAGGGTAGAGGTCACTGCAGACACACGAGAAGACTCTGTTGACACAAAGTAAAGTGGTGGAAATGCTTTTATTGTATCACTCTGAGCCCGGAAATGTGTTCTATTATTAATAGCGGACAGCTGGGCCAGCACGGATAGCTCTTAGCATGTCTCCTCCCGGGTGTCCCAGGGCATGGGAGTGTCAGTGGGTGTGGGGTGGGGGCGA